CCGTTAAAAATAGCTTTTCCATTAAAAAGAAGTCGCTTAACGTAAACAATCGTAGAGATCGGAAATGCGGTCCACGCGCCATCAACCACTGTACCCCATTTTCTCTTTATTTCAATAATCTTCGTTCGTTCCCACGATAACCTCAACCATAAAGCATAAACCCATGTTTTGCCTTCAATCAAAGCAAAGCTAACAGAGCAAAAAAGTAGAAAATCCTGATCACCTATCCCTTTCTCTGTTCTAGTTTGCTTCCCCCATTTTCTCCTCATCCTCTGAATCTCATAGCAAAAGAGCGACCCTTTTTAATCCCTTTCAGTGGGCAACATCCAATCTGTAAGCATTTCCATTTCTGCATACCTTCCATTACTAGTTTCTCTGGTTTTTTTTTTTTTTTCCGAAGTAAGCTCCTATCTTTCCAATAACTCCCTTATTTGAAGCATCCAATCTGCTTCAAATTGCAAAGGGAACTAGATCTGGGTCAGTTTAGGAGTAAAAGCGATTTTCTTTTGTATTGCTTACCAAATCTAACTGTGCTTCTCCTTCTGGGTCAGTTTTAGCTTTTATAGTTGGAATTTTGGTGCTTTTACCTGAAATTTATGCTACTGTTGGTTAAAACTGATGTTTGTCTTTGGTGTAAATGAAGCGAAGCCTCTGCTTACATGCTATTTGTGCACCTAAGAAGGTGGCTTTGGTACTCTTAGCATACCTTCTTGCTTCTCCTTGGTCCTCTTTGAGTTTATAAGATCGGTGGGTTTTGGTCTAACTCTTCACTTCTTTTGGTTCTTCAGCATATCTGGGGAATTTTGTGCTTTCTTTCTGAAAATGAGAAAGCTTTATAGGAAACTGGTGTTTATGAGAAACCCATTATCAAATGTGAGGAAAAATGTCAATTCGCATTCAGGAAGGGCATTTAGTGATAGGAAATGGATTATTCCATTTTTTGCAAGCTTGCTTGTATCAATAAGCTTGTTTTTGTCTACCATTTTTGGGCTCTTCAATGCTCCTGATGGTGGAGATCAGTTGCCTTTTGATATTATTTCCTTTGCAAAATCAGAGGACTCAAGTGGGTATTTTGTAGAAGCCGATTTAAAGAAATCTTTTAATGTAAGTGGCAATTGGAAAGTGGAAGCACCTAGATTAGCTTATCTTATTTCAGGGACAAAGGGAGATAGTCATAGGTTGTTGAGGACCTTGCAGGCAGTGTATCATCCTAGAAATCAGTATATCCTGCATTTGGATTTTGAGGCTCCCCCACGTGAAAGGTTGGAATTGACGGCAACTGTGAAGAATGATCCAACTTTCCGTGAAGTGGAGAATGTGCGTGTAATGGCTCAATCGAACTTGGTAACTTATAAGGGTCCTACAATGATTGCATGTACCCTTCAAGCAATTGCAATTCTATTGAAGGAGAGCCTGGAGTGGGATTGGTTTCTGAACCTCAGTGCCTCAGATTATCCACTTGTGACACAAGATGGTTAGTGTGCTGTGTGCTGCCGAACTTTTCTCTTTTACCTGTTATGTTATCAAATATCAAGACTGTTTCTTTTGTTGTTAATATGGTTTGTTCGGTGATGTTTCAAACATTTCATATAGCATGTTATGATTGATAATTGTCTGAAATTTAGCTTACTGTTGGATTCAGAAATCATACAACAACTCTTTATTGTGCTTGTGAGTTTGTAACTGATAAATTAGGTTTTGTAGTTTTTAAGGAGGCAAGCTTTGCTTATGAGGCTGTTTAAGTTAGTGAGAGTGTTGGATAGGAATAGGAGACAATTAAATTTGTGAAGGATTTCATTTTCAAATTTCAAAGTGGAAACCAAGTCTAGAAATTTATCATCTGTTTAGTTAGGGAAAGTTAATATATTATTTTTCTTGCATGTTATGAACATATGTCTGGATGCACCAGCAGCTTCTCTTCTCCTCTTAGAATCCTTGTTATGTTACTGTTTGAACATTCTCTATTTGTCTCTCTTTTGATAGGTTTAATTTGCGTTTTAGAACTTCTTATTCCTTTCAAATAAAATATGTTTTCATCATAAAAAAGTTGTTTAGAAGACCAAAATTAGGGAGCCCTTTGACATATAAATTGCATTGAAAGTCTTTTGTACTTTTGAGGAATCGGTTGAAGAATTCTAGAAACTTTATTAGTAGCTATGTTTTGAATTTGTTCCATTCACAGGAATGGCTGTATGGAGTGGGGAATCAAATGAGAACTTCTAGCTCTTAAGTTTGTAGTCAAGGATGACAGCGGATAATTAATTGTAATGAAAATTCTTATGTGCATTGGTTCAGTGTCTTTGGCATATCTGCAGTCAATGTAAGCTGTATGTCTTTATATTTAATCAGCAACACTGGGATAGATAATTTCTAGAGAAGGATAAACTTCATGTTTTGCATCTATTATTAAGATTCTTTCATTTTGCTACCTTCTACTTTGCAACGTGATGCTGTGTCCTCTTGATGCACACTTTGTGTTACTTTGTTTAAAACTGCAACTGACGAGAAATGCATGATGGAGTTGTGTGCTTTGCAGTTACATTAAAAAAAATGCCATGTAGGCAACGTCTGCTGAATACACTTGTGTGATAGGATTACTTAAGATTTAGCACTCTAGTAAAAGTTAGTGATTCTTAAGAGAAGCTGTTTATTAACATCAAATGGGAAATTTCTCAAAGAGATAAGTCTCAGGTCACAAGCAAAATGGGGAAATTACATAATTTTCTGTTTCTTATTTTTATCAAAAAGATAGCATTAGGTCTTGGATGTTGTTGGAGACTTTGGGGTGTTTCATGGGTTTCCATTGGCCAAAACTTTGTTTAGCTTGTTCAAGATGGTAATATCTGGTCTTACGCTGTGATGTGCAGATCTGCTTCATGTTTTCTCCAATTTGTCCAGAGATCTCAATTTCATTGAGCATACAAAGATTACTGGTTGGAAGCTGTAAGATTATCACATATTATTATTATACACACCATTCCTGAGATTCCTTTTCTTACACTTCATGTCATAGTTACCGAGCATATGCAATAATTTACTTATGCAGGCACCATAGAGGAAATTCGATCATTGTTGACCCAGGCCTTTACCTATCCAAGAAATCAGACCTTGCTTGGACCACTCAACGCCGATCACTGCCCACGACTTTTAAATTGTATACAGGTTGATACACATTTACATTGTTCATTATTTCGTCTAGCCAAGCATGCCCTGAACTTTCTTCAATCATAATTGGAGATTTGGCCCTTCCTCATTTCATGAAAGGTTTTAATTCATTAATGTAGATATGCATACCCATAAAAGTAAAGGAGCATGTTGTTTTTATATATAATCCTACTCCGAGGCCATTGAAAGTGCTGAAATTGATTTTTGTACTAATTGATCTTGGGTTATCCTCTGTCTTGTGCTATGGATTTTATTATCATTTGCGCATGGATTTCTTGAACTGAATGATTGTGCATGTAACTTAATTCATGATCTGATTTGATTTTATGCAGGTTCGGCATGGGTTGCACTTACTCGGACTTTTGTTGAGTATTGTATATGGGGATGGGATAACCTCCCGCGAACCATTCTAATGTACTACACGAACTTCATCTCCTCTCCGGAAGGCTATTTTCACACGGTCATTTGCAATACAGAAGAGTTCCGTAGCACTGCAATAGGCCACGATCTCCACTATATTGCTTGGGACAACCCTCCAAAGCAACACCCCATCTCCTTATCAACGAAAGACTTTGACAAAATGGTGAAAAGCAAGGCCCCATTTGCTCGGAAGTTTGCTAAAGACGATCCTGTCTTGAACAAAATCGATAAAGAGCTCCTAGGTCGCAATGATACCAGTCGCTTTGCACCTGGAGCATGGTGTGTTGGGAGCTCAAAAGGAGGCGCTGATCCATGTTCTGTACGCGGTAATGATTCAATATTCAGGCCAGGACCTGGAGCCAAGAGGCTGCAGGAGCTGCTTCAAACATTACTATCTGAAGATTTCCGGCAAAAACAGTGTTCATGACAAAGGTAGAGGGTTGGATAAACCCAAAATGTAAATTGCTGTATCCATAGACCAAACTTACCATTGCCATGGTTGGCAGAATTTTGTTTCAAAAAAATCTAAAAGTTATCCTGAATTTAGAAACATTTTCTTTTTCTTCTCAACGATCGGTCTCCTACCATTGCTGACTCTAGTACCAAATGCTAGAAGATTTAGCTCAAGTTCATTTCGGGTTTTGTATTTCTTAAATCCAGCTGAAATTAAAGAAAACCACATAACTCGAGCTTAGCGGAGTTGATACCTCTGTGAATTGTGATATCGAAGTAATTTATTCAAGTATATTCATTACATTTTGAAGGGTTAATGGTGGTTACTAATCATTCTCTGTTAGTGGAGATTAAATTCATATATTTTTCAATTATCATTTCTGGTGAATGATCGGTAAAATAGCCCTTTTCTACATCAACCCCTTCTTCTACTGCCAGCATCTCAACCCGAGACTGTACCCGGTCTGCTCCAATCCGGTTCGGCTCCAACAGCATGCAAGCTATCTCGGTTGAGTCCTCGCCATGGACGAGGCCCAGCGTCTGCACTGTCGGGAGCCCGCCGCCTCGAGCACTCACCATACGGGCAATGCGGCGAGCGGCGGAGACATCCGTTGACATTATGGGTATGTTGTACAACCCGACCCATGGACGTGCCCCGATCATGCAAATCCCTCTAGCCCGAGACACCCGGGTCGGACCTTCGTCGGGCTTCTCCGAGAGAATTTCCGGCATTGTCCAGCCCGCCCATTGGTTGTCCATGAAATTGGGCCTGTAGTAGCCAAGCTCCCGCCGGATAGTGTCCAGCGCCTTCCCCGTCGGATGCGCCGCCGCATACAAGAAGACCGGTACTGCAAAAGATTAAAAAAGGAAAAAAACCCAAAAGTTGAACAAAAGATTTGTGGGTTACTAATCGGATCCATGCCGGAACTGGAGCTACCTTGAAATCTGTTCCCGATTTCCGCCGCCACCGACTTAGCAAGCCAAGCGGCTTCATCCAGCGACGCCCGAGCCAGTGGATGGAAGACAATGTCATCCACGACGCCGAGCCGCGGGTGGGCGCCGGAATGCAGCTCGAGGTTTACGACTTCGTAAGCAGCCTCGGCCACGGCCACGACGGCTTGCTGCAAGGGGCAGTAAATGGCAGTCCCGATGCTATCGTGAATAACATACGACACTAGCGTGAAGCGTACCCTGTTGTACGCTCGGTCCTCGAACTTGTTGACGATGACGGTTTCTGGGTGGAGCCTCGCCGCCTGTTCGATGGCGTCGAGAGCGGCACGGTTTCTGGATTCGGAGATGAAGAGCTTGCAGCAGAGTAGTATTGACTGGTTTCCGCCTTTCTTGTTATTCTGTTGTAGGAGAAAAAGAAATGCATCAGAAAAAGCAGTAAACGTACTTTTTGTCAATGGCATTGTCCTGTTGTTGGACGAAACAAGATTTGAGCTGATTTTAGGGCCGTCCGGACTCCGGCGACGAAAAGAATGGAAGAAGAAAAATTGCATGAGTAGTCCTCAGTCATTTTAATATGATTCAATTAGGTCCATAACCATGTGATTGTAATAAGAAGGTCTTCGCCCCTTGGATCCTATGCCAAATAAATAGTGTGATTTAAGAATCATTTTACTATACCAACTATAGAAAGGAGAATTGTCAACAAACTAAATAACTCATGAGTTTATATCACATAATATGTAAGTTGAATAACTTAAGAGATAAGAGAAACTTATTTTTTATTTTACAATTTAAAATCAAAAGGAGCAAAATAGGAAAAGGAGAACTTATGGGCCCATTCATTATATTTCTTGGCTATTTCCAATCAATCTACTAGAAATTAGAAACAATTGAATTAAAATACAAAATAATAACGAGGGACCCATTTACCATAATTAAGAGATTAAGAACCAAATTGAACCCAACTTGAAAGATGAGAGACTATAATTGTTAATGTTATTAACCCTTTATGATTTCTTCCCCGTTGCATCTAGAATATCACCTCATCCTTTGAGAAGCAAAATTGACATTTAAACCCTAACATCACGACTCCCAGCAATCCCTCTCACCCCAAAACAAATTTGGTAGAAAACATGGAGAGCTTACCTTCGAGGTGAGGCTAAAATCCCTTTCTTCCTTCTGCTCTTGATTCCACATCTTCTCAAATTCTCACCACACCAACCAAAGCACTCAAGCCTTTCAAATGCTTCAAGGGGATTTTCACTTCTGCTGTGTCTCTAACTGCCTTTATTTTGGCATTGAACCCATCTGTATAATTTGGCCCACATGTATGGATTCACGAGTGAAGAGAATACATCATATATATATATAAAAAGTCATGTTGGTTAAGACAACACGTCGGCCATGGACAAGAATGCGGGATGAGAAGACCCCACAAACTAACTGACAAATATTATTTCTCAAGTATAACTTAAAAAGAGAAACAGCAGGAACCACAAGGTTCCTCACCATAATATCACTAGAATACATCATCGCTGGAATACATGAAAGGTGAGTCCTGTAAATGCCCTATTTTGCCCTTCGCATAGTGTCCACTTGAAATGGGTTTTTTTGTCTTTTCGTGCGATTTTACAAAAGGGAGTTACTGTAGTTATTCTATTCGCTCCCCTCACTCACGTTTCATTGTTCATAGAATATTCATGCACTATTCATCAATTTAATGGCATTTGATGTAAATCTTTCCTTCCTCTTTGATTTTTTGGGTAATTCGAAGAGTAAAAACCACTGCTTGGTTACTTATAATTTTCACCTTTCTGTTTAATTTTTGGGTAATTTCGAAGGTACAATGGGTGGAGGGTGGGTACATATTTTAGATATTATTAAAATATCTAAATTTCCAACCGCAATTTTTAAATTTTAGGTCGAATAATTTAGATATTTGAATGAATTTAAATAAAATTGAAATGATAAAATATAATTTTGGCTTGAATGTAATTGCTTACTCATATTTGAAATTATCAATATAAGTTATCAAATTATTTGAAATTTTTTAATATTAATAATTATATTTTTTTATAGAATTCTTTTTTGGGTCAAATTTATAGATAAAAATCTTTAAAAAATTAAAAATAATCAAAATTTAAAAAATAAACTTTTATTGACCAATAATGAAGAATAATGATATATTAATATCGATATATAAAAATTTTAGCACTATTTCTAGAGTATTCACTGGCATTTCATGCAAAATTTACCTTTCACTTGGGTGTTTTTGCTAATTTGAATATATATAAAAAAAAAAAACATAATTCACATGGGTCATTTTTAGGCATTGAGTAATGTTTTAGATTTTAGGGTTGACTTTGATATGTTTTTACTTTTATGTCATGTAATTATATCATAATTTTTCATTTAATGATTTTCTTTTTAGAAACAATAGTGCAAAAGACAAGTTTAAATTGTTCCACTAATATCATTAATTATAATTTTGTATAAATTTTGTTCTTCATTTGTGTTTAAGAAAGTATTAAATTTTGCATTTGATATTAAAATTTTAAAATAAATTATTATGATATTATGATGAAATCATCTTCATTAACTCTTTTAATTGTTCGTTGTTACATCTGAATTTATTCAACAATCAAAACACATTACTTGGTCGTTGACCGAGTTAAATGAACTGGTGCAATTTAGAAGGTATGGATATTGCGGCGCATCTTGTTAAGGCTACACAAATAGCATAATAGAATTTTAATTGAATTTTTTAGTTTATAATTTTAAAATTAATTACAATATTTAAAAATATTATTTTATAAGTTCATTTTAATTTATTAAATAATAAATATTAATTTTTAATTAATTATTATAATTATTAATTATTTTTAATAATCAAATAATATTTTACGTAACTTTAACAAAAGTGTGAGTGGCAATAACAATTCTTCAATTTAAATTACGGATGAAAAGTAAAGACTTCCTAAAACTGCCTGTTAGCAGGGGTGGGCAAAATCGATATTTGGTTAAAATCGAAACTAGTTTTAAAATAATCAAAAAATTTTTTTTTATAATTTTGAGAATCAAAATTGAATCAAAATTATTAAAAATCGATCGGTTCGGTTATTAATAAATTGGTTTAACATTGATTTTATTTTGGTTTTTGATAAATAAATAATAATTAATTATTTTTTAATAATATATTATATTTTATCATATATTTTATCATATTTTATCATATTT